CAGCATCCTCTCCGAGGATTTCCTGGAGACGTTTCCCGTGTCCTGGACGCTGGAGCGACAGCTGAAGAACTACTTGAAGCAGACTGTGAAGAGAGTGACCTTGCCAAGCAAGCGACGCTGGGCCTCTTTACGGGAAATGCCCTGCCAACCTCCATCGACTGCACCCTTGCAGTTGCAGAGCCAGACCCGACTAAGAGAGCCCAATACCCCATGATAAAAGGGTCACGCGGCGACAACGCTTCTTTTTGTTATGTTTTCTATCTTGCGATCCTGGGGGCGGGGGGGGGGGGAAGCGCGGACCGTCTTTGTAGCTCCGAGGAGAGATGGCCACGCTGCTTCCCGACATGCTGCACGGGCAGCTGTGCTCCGAAGCTCTGGGTGCCTGGGCCCCTGAGGGCAGGAGTTCGAGGGCTTGAGCCTTCCTGCACAGAGGTGCTAGAAGGCTTTGGGGTTGATGGTTTTCCCTTTTGAGGGGCCGTGGGGTTCAGGTTGAAGGGTTCTATTCGGGTTTTGAAGTTTGGGGCCTCATATTGCAGGCTTAGGCCGCAGCGGCTTTAGTTGGGGTTTAGCTCTTTTGGGGTTAAGGGCTCTTGGGCCTGCAGGGTTTGGGGAGATGTCGCCTTTGCAGGCTTTCGGGTGGGCATTCGTGGACACCTTTAGGGCCTTGAGGGCCTTCAGGGCCTTTCGGGTGACTTGGACTCGCCTTTCGCCTCCGAGAGAGAGAGGAGGTTTCGGGCAACGGCATTACGGATGATATAAGTCCTGCATTACCCAGAATCAGGAAACCACAATTCCCATAGTTTGGGGTGCGTAAGGTCATGGGTGGAAAAAAGAATCCACTTCAAGCCCAAGCCCTCGGCCCTCAGCCCTTTTGCTTCTTGCTTTTTTGGGTCGATCCAAGCATGGGCCTTGCAGAGTGGCCCGTGGAGCGCTTCGAGCTAATCCCGTCTTCCGTATGCGGGGTCGGGTTTGCACTACTTAGAGCGACATGTGGGAGCGCACGATCCCCGCTTTCCCTGGTGGCACGTGAGGTGCGATTGTGAGTCCTCATCAGTTGCTTGGCTGGCTTGCCGCTTCTGTATTTTGGCTACGGTCACCCACCAACCTGAGAAAAATGTGGGTTAGGTTCATCATGATGGTCGTTCGGGCACGTTTGGCTCCACCAACTATGACAAACTGTGATTATGACGATGCTTGGGAGTGTCATGTTGCGCTTGAACTTGTGAACGCCTTTGCGGGAGCTGTTCCTCGGTCTCGTCAAGCTCGTGCTTCACCCTGAACCAATGCCTGAGGCCCAAACCCCCCATCAGACGTCGCCATGGAACCTGCGTTTCACAGCCGAAGATGAAGCTCCCGCCCCTCCCCTCCCTCGCCCCCTCGCAGGGTTCTTAACGAACGCTGGGCGCTGGGAAGGGGCTCCTTTCTGTGTTTCTTCCCTAATCTTTGGGGAGTTCCAGCTCAGGATGTTCAAAGGGCTCATGGAGAAGTACCCGAGCTTCCAGCGCGACCTTTGCGTCAAAGGCGGGCCCGGGGGCCAGGCAAGCGAGGCCACTCAACAAACCCGCCGGCTTGGAACCAAGACTTGAAGCCCCTAAGCCCCTAAGCTCCTAAACCCTAAACCTCTCAACCCTAAACCTCTCAACCCTAAACCCCTAAACCCCAAACCTCCAGACCCCTACAGTAGGCCCTAAGGCCTGATGCCGTAATCTCCTGAACCACAAATCCCTGAACCCCCGGTAAAGCCAGAACGTGCGTCAACCGTGGCGTGTTTGCTCTGGGCTGCTTCGGTTCCGAGGGGCCCAGCGTGGGAGTAGGGTTAGCCAGAAATCCAGGCCAAGGCAGAAGCCTAAAATAGATACGAACACTGCTGCCTCGGGTTCCTTACATTCATCATATACATACTGTAACATGACCTCAAAACCCTCTTAGAATCCGTCAGGCCCCTACATTGCCTAGCCTGGAGGTCTGGAAGACTGGACTTTGGCACCGGATGAGGCCATGGCCGAAACATGCCTAGGCTGAGACCGTGCACAAGAGGAGTGCCTAAGGCTGTTTCAAGCCCGCAAACACACTCTACACCCTGAAACCCTAAACCCCTTAAAACCCTAAAGCCTGAGCCCCTTAAGACCTTAAGCCGTCCTAACCCTGAGTAGAAATCACTGACTGATGGGAGCCTCAGGTGCTCTTTTCAGCGGGGCTCTCCTGCCAGAACATGCTCTTCGTGGCCTTCAACTTCGTGCCCGGGCCGTTGTTCTGGCGCTTGTCTTCTTTGGGATTTTGGGATGGTCGAGTCGGGGCTCCGGTTGGGATTCTTCAGGTGCTTTGCGCGCTCTTTTGGGGGCTTAGGCAGAACGGGTCACAAGTTACTTCATGGTTGCTCTTGTTGAGTTCACGGGTTTTCGTCAATTGATCGAGCTGACGGCCCTCCACTCAGAGACAGAACGGCATGCTTCATCTTGAGCTACAGCGGTATGAAGTTCAGTCGATGTACGATCGTACTCAGCATTCGGCAATTGCTTGGGATGTATGGTGATATTGGTTTCTAAGACATTGCTTCGCGTTAATTTGCATTCGCGGGCCTTCACCGAACTCAACGCGTGGTCTGTTAATGCGCAAGCTTCTACACGAACTACTTGCTGCTGCTGCTGCGGTTGCTGCTGCTGCGGTTGCTGCTGCTGCGGCTGCTGCTAGTGTCACTGGTCATTGTCCTCGTCCTCGTCGTCGTCGACTTCGTCGTGTCGTCCTCGTCCGTGTCGCCGTAGTCGCGGTACTACCAGGAGCAGTACCAGCACAGGCAGTTGTTCTCGTGGCGGTGGTGATGCCTGCAGTGGTCGTGCTTGTGGAGCTGGTTGTGATAGTTGTCATCATTACTGCCAGTCTTATCCTTGTTCCCAGATCACTTCTTCTCACGGGGACGTTTTTGTCTGGCACCTGGTGTTCTTGGGTACAAACACCCGGGAGAAAACTCAAGTATACACATGGCAGAACCGAGCTTCGACCCTGTCGCGCACTGGATCACTTATGTAGAGGCAGGGGGGCTTGCAAGCTTCAGGACGCAATGACCTCAGCGAACCTAAACCCTAAACCCTAAACCCTAAACCCCGAAGCTCTCTCAGGTGCTCTACAAGCGACAGGGCGTCGTGATGCAAGAGGAGCGAAGTAGGCCTTCCAAGGCCGGAGGAAGCTTCAGGAGTCTACGACCCCAAAAGCCCCAGCCACCTTAACGGGAAGCCCGAAACCCCAAAACCGCCAGATTTGTGGACCCTTAAAACCCTACACCCAAAACCCCGAACTCCCCGAACTCCCCAAACGCTCCAAACCCCCCAAACCCCCCAAACTCCCCCAAACTCCCCGAACTCCCCAAACTCCCCCAACTCCGGAGGTGAAGACCTGGACCCTCCGCCATGGCCAGTCCTGGAACTCGCAGGCGTCCCCGACGCCGCCGCCGGAAGTCGTCTCCTCCAAGCGGGAGACCGACTTCACCTTGCGAATCAAGCCAGGCGGCTATAGGGCTCTGTAAGCTTTTGACAAGAAAAGACAACAGATACCTAGTACTACAATAACGGAGAGGAGTAGTAGTAGTAGTAGCAGTAGTAGTAGGAGTAGTAGTAGTAGTAGTAGTAGTAGTAGTAGTAGTAGTAGTAGTAGTGGTGGTCGTGGTCGTGGTCGTGGTCGTGGTCGTCGTCGTCGTACGTCGTCGTAGCAGCAGGAGGAGGAGTAGTAGCAGGAAGAGTAGGGACTGTAACAGCTTGCATGGAAGGCTCTTGCACTTGAACTGTGGGGGTTAGGGCCTCCTTGCGCCATTGATGGAAGCTTGTCGCTACTTCCGGTCTTAGTCATCGAACCCAGTGTCCCGGAGCCCCCACAGCATCAAAGCCCCATGCTGAATGCCCTAGACCTAGTTCGGTAGTTGCTTCGGCTTTTGTCCTTAACACCCTCTTCTGACTCTCTCCTCCCCCCTTTTCCCGACGAAGTCGCGGCTCTGCCGGCTTTCTGCGCCAGGCCACTGGTTGTGTGAGCCCTGCCTGTGGACGGACTGGCGCTACCTTGGCCAGGCCGTCGCCGGGTCCTCCGCGCCACTGGGCTTCCAAGCGGGAAGTTTCATTCGGTCAATTCAGGTCTCTTGAGCTTACACGGCTTCGATTCGCAGATTGGGGTTTATAGGGGCTTTTCGGCTTCGGGTTGATGTCTCGTCTCACGCTCTAAGGAGCCTCCTCTGTTTGAACCAATCGCAGCTTCTGCACATCACCGCCGGGCACGCCGATATCTCAGCGGAGCTGGTGATTCACGCCCGACTCTTCCTGAATGCGCTGAACGACATTCCAGTGGAGGAGCTGAGTGACGTGCAATGTGTCTTGTGACGCACTGTTTCACTGCACCGAGAAGTCTGCGCCAGGGATTTTAAGGGCAGCTACCGTCTGTGTTTTGGTCCAACACCTGAAAGGTGGCGGCCAGAGCGGAAGGGTAAGAATCCAAGCCGGTAAAGCCGAAGCCCCCGAAGGTTGTCGGACGCTTCGGAGATTGTTGGATTGAGATGGCAGGTAGAAGTAGAAGCAAGCCCTAAACCCTAAACCCTAAACCCTAAATCCTAAACCCTAACCCCTAAAACATCTCGAAGATGAGGGCGGAGAGCTTTCAACGAGGCTCCCCAGAGGCCCGAAACCTGGGCCCCTCAACCTGACACCGGCTTGAGGATGTGTCAGGAGCAGCAAAGCTTGAGTCCACTCTTCGAAACTGCGACACGCATTTTTCACGGATCATGGCTGCCACTTTTTGCCGAAATTTCGGCCTTTCAGCACAGCAGCCCTTGCCGCTCTCCCTCAGAAATCGATAGAGACGGTGGGAGAGGCCAAGGCCCAGCAGAAGCCGATGGCACGTCGGCTCTTGTATCAAGTAAGTGCTTGCGCTCGTCCTGCGAATGCAGAAGCATCGGGCGAAGGCACTGAGAGAGATCCCAAGCCTCCAAAACTCCAAAACCCTGTGCCGAAACCCCTAAACCCTTGAAGATCTCAACTACTCCCTGGCTCTGAAGCCCCCATGAAACTTGCTGGTCGGGAGTGCCAAGACCTTGCGCAGACTTTGCAGTTTCAAGACATTAAAAACACCGTTGAGAGGCTTGACGGCTTATGGGCTCAATCCTTGCAGGGTTGAGGATTTAAGGTTTGGGTGTAGGCGGTTACTACAGGGTCAGAGGGCAGACATTCCAGGCCTCAACTCAGATCTTGACAGCGAGAGGTTCTTTACCACAAGGGTCGTTTTTTGCGGTCCTTATTATCATGCGGGTGACGCATGATCTACCCATGTAGGAACCTCAGGAATTACAGATGTTTCCTACGTTTCAAACAGTATTAAGTTGATTAGTACAAAAAATTTGTGCCCACATCAGTGAACCCCGCAAAATGCCGATTTGATTGAGACCCCCAGCCTAGAAATAACTGGGAATTTTCCGGCGATCTCATTGCCTTCATTCTTTTGTTGTCTGTGGTCCACTGCGTACCTGCGGACTCCAGTGAGTTTTGAAGACGTGCTCCGGGCCCGCGGAAGTGCATCTTGAGGTCATAACTACTTGCTTGATCATCGGTGGCATTCCGTGACATGTTTCTCTTAAGCGTAGCAGGAGTACCCCATTGCTCCAAAGCCACGTTGACATGCGAAGGGGCCTCCTCTTGTGCCGAAGCTTGACACCAGAACACATGCGGAGGCAAGTCCTGATAAGTCCACTCAGCAGGTTTTCTCCCTCTATGTCTGGGCAGGGTCTAGATCAATGGCCCCGTGCTTTGACTCAGCTACTGTAGGCAGTTCACCAAAGACAAACATCATCGTGTAGTCTTGGTTGGGTCCAGAATCTAGAGCCAGTCAGGTATGAGAGTTGAGAGTAGGGGTCAGGGTTTTGAGTAGGGCGAGCACTTGGAAGTGGCCTGCATGGTGCAAGAGCACCAGGGACGAACGTCATTTTCCAGAGACACGCTGCCGCCTGCATGCGCAAGGCTGTAAAACTGAGGACACCCAAGCACCCTAAACCCTAAACCC